AGGTGGGCACTGCCCTCTCCCCCTTGACTCTGCTATTTAAGTTCCTAAAAACTTAAGTCGCTGACACTTGAGTCACTACAACTGGGTTTTCATCCCCACTGAAATCTACCCATGCTTTGAGCTTCTTGAGAAAGGGACCTGAAGTGCTGAATCACTCTGCAGCAATGAGAATGCACTGAACACTGGGTGTTCTCACCACAGGTTGAGGCTCAGGTTCAGTGCACGTCTAAGGAGACGAAGCGCACGCCTGGAACCCTGAGTGGGAAGCTGGGAACCAGCCGTGGAGAGAGTCACCAGGGCAACAAACCTGCAAGCTGCCTGAGCCGTGGGGGTTAGTCGGAAGGAAAGCGAGCCTTGGAATTAAAGAGTGCGTTTGAAAACCAAAGTGAGGTAAGAAAATAAGAGGAAAAAACCTTCCAGATAGATCATCCCCAACTTCATACTGATAGACACGAATGACACGACGATATGCTATGCTAGTCAAAGAAAAGAAACCAGGTGAATTCCAAAAAGGAAGAAAGAAAGAACAGAGGAAAGAACACACCCAAACACGGCCACTGCAGCGGAGCCACACTCCAAGCCAGCACCACTTTGCAGCAAACACAAGCACTTGATGGAAGAAAATGATTCAAATGCTGCGTGCATATACATGAAAATCTTCTGTTACTATTTTCGTGCAAGTCACAAAAAAGTGAGTCTTGCTATGAGATGACTAGAAGCCTTACAGATAACTCATCTACAGAAGCCTTGAGGGCATTCTCCTTCCTAAACTCCAAATTCTCCCTCCTTCCCTCGGCAGAGGAAACCTCCTGCAGGCATCGGGGGCTCGCTGGAGGGCAGGGTGTGCACCAGGCAGCTCTTGCTGCAGCTCTGCCTGCCCTGAGCACAGCCAACGCCTCTCCCAGCTGAGGCTGTGTTTTTAATCTGTTCACGCAGAATGAAGGACAAACTCTGCCTGGCATATCAGCAGCCTTCTGGTAATTTGTTCAACAAAATATCTTGGCACGGTGATCTTGAACTCTGACCCTACATCTTTTAGTAAATGTCTCCTTTCTGTTCGCTCGTTCGTGGATACCAGAACTAATCTACAACACTACTTCACAAAGCAGCAGAGAGTTCAGCATCCGCTCCGGGGAAATCTGCTCGCTTCCATTAAACTGTGCAACAAAAATGGGGCAAATTATTTTTCTCTGGCAGAAACAGCGGAACGCAAGACACCGTGATCGTTACGGAGCAGATACCAAGCACAGCCACCTGCAAAGATTGTACCCTTTTATTAGGAAAAGCCCTCTCCCTCTCCCTGGGAGAGGCCCCTGCCTCTCTCAGCACCTCACCCCGGGCTGACACAGGCCTCTGCACCAGGCCCATACGCTGTTTGTTAGCATTTTACGTTATATGTCTCATTACAAAGCTTCCATTGTGCTGCAGACTTTTAATACTGAAGAAATTTAAATGGACAGACGCCCTCTCAGAGGGTTTGGCAGTCTCAAGACATTTAAAGGTCTTATTATTTCCTTTCCACTTCTTGACAAATGCCCAGCACGCATCCTCCTCAGGAATTATTCCCATGGACACAAAGTGGATTTAAAACGGCCAGCATCAAGCGGCTGGCAAACCCAGGGAAGGTCAGGGTTCATCTTGGGAGGTTTGTTCCCTCCTATCAAGAATATAATCTTTGTGAGGCGTGGTTATGCAGCAGATTAAAAGCCAGGCAGTTCATATTTGCACACTTTTAAAGATAAATCATTTCAGTAAAGCTTCATCATAGGAATCGTCCCTCCTCCGTATCAAAAATGGTCAAAACTGGGGCTCTAATTGTTCTGAGAACAGTTAAAATGGAAAAGTTTATTTTGCTAAGCAGGTCTCTGAATGGTGGAAAACGAGGCCCGTCAGCTGGTTTCCAGGGGCAGGCTAGCCTGGGTTCTCCAGTATCAAATTCAGAGCCTTTCCTTGTGCAAACCCTCTGAGAAAGCAAGCACAGAAGTTAGGACTTCCACGGTGGCTACCCATTAATTTCTTCTGCATTTGACTAGGAAATAGTGATGTTTCCACTGGTTTATACTCAATCTACTTGAAAATCTTGTTCCTTGTGCCTGTGCACCTCAGCCACAGGTTGTTCTTTTCAAATAAAAGGGGGTTCAGTGCAGCTTTCACAAGCAATATAATGACAGAAGAAAACACACAGACAGAGCAGAACACATCACCACATTTTTAAAGATATAAAATTCAATACTAACCCATCTAGCAGGTAAGTCCTGTAGAATGTGAAGATCCAAACATCAGGCAGCAGGACAGAGACAAGACAGTAAGAGAGGGACAGCGATTTGGGTGGGAAGCAAACATCAAAAAGTTAAAAATCGTATTTATACTTCATTATTTCATGAAGACACATACAGAACTATTTGTGAACACAGAGAGACAGAGGATCACAGGGTTACATGAGAACAGAACTCACCTGCTCTGCACCACAGCCCAGGGTGTCAGAGCTGGCTAACGGCACCGTCTGAGCACCGGCACCGCTGCTTTCTAGAAACCTGCTCCTCAGTTCACTGCAGTTCTCAACCTTGAGATTTTCTATTTCTAACACAGCGGTTAAACCTTTACTCCCTAGGCAAGGATATTATTAGACAGCACCCCCATAGGTGATTACAAAGTAGTCTGAAGCTTTTTTCACAGCTTCTCTCTTTTGAAACTGTAGTGAGGTTTCTAATGTGCTACTCGGCACAAAAGGAGCGTTAACAGAAAGCCACCAGCACTTCACACAGTCTGCTTCCAGCTGTTTGTTCCCCACCCCCCAGCTGTGCTGCAGACTAGTTCAGGAATAACAGGAGAAGGCTGAAGTCCTAGATAGCTGGAATTACGTCAGGAAAATGAATTTACACACAAACATTTTTAAAGTCTGGTGTTTCAGGGCTTTCCTCCTTCACTCTAGCTGACAACAGGGCCCCCCCGCAAATCCCAACTGCAGGAAATGAGCAAGTCCTGAATAGCTGTTTTTCAGCAGAAAATTTACAACTTAGACCAAAGAGATGTAGGACGGATACAAGCCTTAGCTGAGGAATTCTCTAAGGGTAGCTCCTGGGCAGACAAACTATACCTGGTCTCCTGAATCCACTGATGGAAAGCATTAGCGTGCTGAGCAAATTCCTGGCGCAACTTGTCGTTCTCTTCCTGCCTTCGCTGTTCCTTCTGCAGCTCCAGCTCACGCTCCTGAGAAACGAACAAAAGTCATTTCAAACAGAAAAATCATGATTGCTCTCACCCTGTAATAAAACCCCAGAACTACGAGCTGCACACCAGCCCAGTTCTGAAGCTCAAAACAAGACTGAGCGCTCAAAGAGCGTCCTGGATATCTAAAGAAAATCATCTAAGATGACAACATAGAACATTCCTCCTGAAGTCTTGAGAACTGGAACTGGACCAGAAGTTACTTCGCTGCATAGCATAGGCACTGAAGTTATTGTATGGTTAGGAAGTGAGGCACATATGCTTTGTCTTTTCAAAAACCGCAAATGGAAGACCATGAAAACAACGGACAATAGCACAAATTTATAGCCAATGGAAATTGTTCTTTGCTTCCAAATTTTCAGATATTTCCATCTGTAGTATAGTGACAAACTCTTGTACTGATTATCTTGGAGGATAACTTCCAGGGAAGACTTGAAAAGTTGCGAACTATGAAGAGAGTCTTTCTCTGTCTGACTTGCCTTGATGATTTTCTGCAGATTCCTCCAGGTTTCTTCAAGAGCCTCCATAGTGAACCAAGTATATGGGTTGGAGGCTACACGGAAGCTCTTGATCTGGCGATCAAGCTCTGCCAGCTGGTTGAAGTCAGCCTGGGCAGAACTAAGTGAAGAGCGGAAGGCGTCGTGAGCTTCTCGCAGTGCTTTGATTTCCTCCAGCGAGTTACAGCGCACAGGATCTGTCAGGTCCTCTTCAGCATTCTCAAACCAGCTGTTGAAGGCAGATGCCTTCTTTGCAAACGTCAGGAACAGATCCTCAACCTTGAAAAGAGAAAAGAATCCCGTTATTCGGTTATGTAGTAATGCAAATACTCCATATGAGCTGCTGTGGAATTCACACGCATCAGTGATATTTGCATATTTATTACATATTTCTCACAAGCACCTCAAAAAATCTACAGAGAAGTCTCCAGGACCTCCATAATCATTAGCTGCAACTGAAAAAGCTAGAGCTGTCGCAAGCATTGTATGTTTTTTTCAAAGAGCACAATTAGATATTTGTAGCCTCATGATTTGGCCACTCACCTTTCTGAAATGCTCCTGAGCCTCCAAGAGTTTCTTTTTCCTGGCAGCAGAATTAGCAAGTAGCTGATTCCAGCGTTTCATCAGGGAAGCGTGCCGAGCCTCAATGGCCTTTGACTGGATATGTTTGGCTGCTAGTAGCTGGTCTTTCAGAGCAGTGATGTTTGCAATTCCCTCCTGCTGGAAAGCCTGAAGTCCAGCATCAAAAGTGTCCTGAAGAATTAAAAGAAGAACAAAATATTTTAGACTGTATTTTTATGTAACCATTCCAATATCCTGCACGTATTTCCAACATGAATACTAGATTCTTGTGTCTTGTAGAGGAGTTCACCTGTTCTCTCTATCACTTATGGGGTGGCAGCAGCATTAGCACTAACCTGTTTGGTGAGTAGTGTTTGCACAGAAGAGAGGTCACGTCCATAATCATCTGTCTTCAGACTGTTTTCCTTTTCACCTGTAAAATGAAATAAATTCAGTAAAAATGTCATGTCTCTGCCTCAAACATTTCCTCTATTCCAAACGAGGTTACCCCAGCAGGATAGATCAGGTACAGGACTCCTCATTACAACAGCAAGTGAGAAGCTAATTGAGATCTTTGGAAATGAAGGAGCATTTGAGTGTCTTTGTGACAGAGCACTGTGCTCCAACACAGAACACACCTATCCACGACTCCACTACATCTGCTTTCCAGTTGAACTGGAGGAAGGCAGAGTTCTCATCCAATTTGGCTTTCCTCTGAGCTGCTGCTTTCTCCAGGTCTGACACCTTGCCTCTGAGGCCCTTCATCTTGGCAGTGATGTTCTCCTCATGGTGATTGTTCTACATCACAGGAGAAAAAAATAAAGCATAACATATGATGGTTAAGGTCTTCCACAGCATCCTGTAAGTTGGTGGCAGAGCAAGGGCTTCAACCATAAGATTTTGTCCAAAAAATGGCTTTCAAAGTAGTCAATGCAAAAAGCTTATTCAGCTGCAAAAAATGAGTAAAAGCTCTTTTCAAAGAGATAACAAATCAGTCTTCAGAGAAGAGTAAATCTACTTTGACAGGAAAATGTCCTGGGTAGCCTCTGAAGCTGTTTTGGTTTTGTTTTTTGTTCAGTTGGGTTTCTTTGTTTGGTTGGGTTTTTTTTAACCATTTTATGCTCACCTTTTTAATGAGATCCTCTCCATTAGCACAAACATCGTTCACTCTGTCTTTGTGGACAGTAAAATCTGTCTCAAAAGCTTCATGCTTCTTCAGCAAGCCCTGCAAACACAAGACAGTCACTTTAAAAAATAATTTCTCACCACTTACTAAAACTGAAAAGAATTTGTTATAAATCTGCCAGCATAACTTCTTCTGACAACAGCTATTAATCTTAGCTGGTTAGCACAACTTGCTGGGTTTCTGTAGACAAAAGGAGACTGATGTTTACTTCCAATATAAGTCCAGCCATTTCATTTAGGGCCCACCAAAGGTCAAGAGATGCAAAGCTACACCAGACTGCAAGTCATTTCTACTGGAAGTAACATACTTGGGATGCTTTTATAAAATGAATTCACAATTTTTACAATGTATGCTTCCAAAAGGAACCAACAATAACCTCTAAATTGGGAAGACAGCTAAAGGAAACATTTGTTAAGGTCTAACCAACAACAATGCAACAAGAACAACGAAGAGCTGACAACTTTCTCCATACCTGGATAGCAGCAAGTGTGTCCCCATAATCCTCGCTGGCTACCAGTGTCATCTTCTCATTGATCCAGGCTTCTTCTTCCTCAACATTTGCTACAAACTGCTGGTACTCCAGAGACTCCTCTAGTCGCTGACCCCTGTGTGGGCAAAGAAAGGTAAAACGAGTCCCAGTGTTGCTTTATGGCTCTTAGGTACAAGGTGAAGAAACAAATTACAGCAGCAGAAAACCTAAGAATGTCCTGAGACAGAACCCCACTCACAGAACCATTCACAGGCCACTTCTCCTGCAGCAGACTGCAGTGTCTGCAGCTCTAGAAATTCAGGAGGCCACAAGCCTGCAGCTACTGAAGGACTAAAGTACATCTTTTTTCTCCCAACAGCTTCTGTTCAGAAAAACATCCTGACAGTGTACTAGAGCCAGTTAATTGCAAGTCTACGGTTTCCAACTGGTGCAGGAAAAGGCTAAACACAGCACACCTCAAACAAATGCTCACGTTTCTGCTGAGGAACATTGTCACCAGAACTCTTTTCACTACTCTCCTAGAGCCTGTCATCAGCGACATGTGCTATTACATCATATTACTAATGAGCCATACCCTAAACCCCTGCAACTCAGTCAATCTGGTAATTATGAGTCCATGTAACAGTTTTAATTAATACTGAATTTTACAAAAACACGTCTCACATACCTAGCAGCTGCCAGCTGTTTTAACTCTTTCCAGTGATCCACAAACTGAGCCAGTCTCTGCTGTATCTCCTCCTTTCCAATTGTGTTATCATCTGAAAGCTTCTTACCAGTGTCTAGGACACCCTGCAAAGGAGAGGAGCATACAGGTAAGGGAACATCACTTCCTCTCTTCTTATGCACTTCATTTACATTCCAGCAAACCTATTACTGGCTTTCATATTTGCCACAAGTAAGAAAGAAGAGAGAAATCTGTGGAGGAGAGAGGCCTTTACCTGGATAGCAGGTTCATGGGCAGCTAATTCTGCTTCTAAGCGCTTGTGTTTTTTCCTAAGGTTCTGCACACCAGTGAGGTCCCTGCCATAGTCTTCTGAGCTAACCAACAGCTTCTTCTCTCTAAATACAAGAAAGAAGAGAGAAAGATAAAATTTGAAAATTACTTCTATATGTTAAACCTGACAAAAGAAAAAAAAAACAAAACACACAAACCAATAACACAAGACAAAACCACTGCAAGTAATGATATGCTCCTCATAGCAGAAAAATCCTGGTTGTAAAAAATTCTGTATGTGAGTTATCAGCACACAGCAGCTGGCTCCTGGCAGTACATGTGGGGTAATGTGTGGAGGAAAGAAGGCAGGCAGCAAAGGGACTGTCATTTCTTTCTGAAGGACAGTGTTTCTCTGCATTGTTTTCTTTCTAAGAAGATAGCTACCTTTTGTAGTTTACCTGCTGTTGTCCAATCTTGGTTTTGTATTTTACAAGCATGACAAAAAAAGCACACTAATTTGAGAGATTTCCATTGGCCTCTCTTCTTCCCCTCCTCCCAAGATACTAACACCAATATGAAAAGAGAATTTGATTAATTGCTACAACCGGTTAGAACAACAAAAATTACTTCAGACTGAAAAAGTAAGGTTTGAATTTTTGCTAGGAACTTCCCCAAGAAGAGTGGAGTCAAGTTTCAGTTATCTGGTCCAGGTCTAAACAGCACAACTTTTTCCAGCACAAGAGCTCTCCTCAGGCTTTGACCAAAGAAACCGAGATAAGAAGCCACACCCAAGCTAGTGCTGAAGCCACTCTGAATAGACCTTTCCTCCACTGCAGGGCAAAGGTGGTTTCCCGCAGAGGCACATACTTCTGGAAAAGGCAAGTTATAAAACCCCACTACAGACTATGAACGCGGCTGGCAAGCTGGCAGTGAGCACAGCAGCCTGTGCCAGAGCCCAGGAGCTCCAAAGGACCCACTTGATCCAGGACTCCTCGTCGTCCATGTCGCGGAAGAACTGGTGCAGGCGGTGGGACTCGTTGAGCTTGGCGCGGCGCGCGGCCGCCATGCCCTTGATGCGCTGGAACCGCCCGTTGATGGTCTCGCGCTTGTCCTTCACCTGGGACGTGTCGAAAGCGCTGCTGGTCATCAAACTGTCAGCCTGGCTGTTCAGGTCCTTCAGACGATCCTGGAAATGAAACGTGGGTGGAAAACCTGTGTGAAGTGTGCTTGGGTCTCATTTCTGTTTGTTGCAGCAGTATAAAAGCGATAACCTGACTGCTCTGCAGAGCCACAGGGTTTATTACAAAAACATGTTTCAACAGGTATGTAACTGCAAGCATGTACTGAAGTGGTATCTGTGGGGTTTGCTGATTACTATGATTTATCTTCCAAAAGTAAAAGAGAAAGCAATACCTCGTGAGCAGATATATCAGCTTCCAGTAACTGGTGTTTCTTCAGAAGGTTGTTAACTGATGCCAAGTCCTTCCCATAGTCTTCAGATGCCAACAAAGCCTCCACCTGGGGGTGGGAAAGGAAAAAGGGGATGGAAAACAAGTTGTGTTTTCACAAAACCCTTGAAATTATCATGTCTTTAAAACTGTGCAAATTAATTATCTTCTCAGTTTTCTACAGTGTGGATAAACCTTTGCCTCATCACCTGTTCAACTCCTAGCAGATTCTAATCAAATAAGCTTATTCTTGCCTTCATGTTTATAAATAATAACATAAGAACATCCACAAGATTTTTAGTTCTAATAAAGAGTTTTTCAAAACAAATCTAGACATGCTCAAAGGTGGACTGTGCTCCAACACAATCTAACATCAGCAAAAGGAATAAAAAAATCAGAAAAACAAGTCTTGCAGGTAAATAATTGCAATCTATCACCTCTGAAAGCCAGAAATCAAAGTCCTTGATTCCAGTATTGAAGTTCTGTTGTTTATTAGCTTCTTTCAGTTTCTGACTCTTCTCTGCTGATTTCTGCACCAGGAATTGCCACTGGTCAGCCAGGGCAGCCAGGCGTGCCTGTTGGAAAAGAGAGAAGATAAATGCTGTACATTAAAAAGAGAAGTTCTGATTAATGCAAAACCAAATAAGGTACAAGTTTGGCTGCTGATTCCAGACATGCAGATTACAGTCAGTATTTTGTGCTGCCTAGCTGTAAACTGAGTTCAACTTCTACATCCTGATCAGAGGATTGAGTAACTTCTCACCCCTGAGAACGCAGCAGAATGACTACCCTGATTTCTATTGTACAGCTGAGATAGAAAAGCTTCTATAACACAAGATCTGTTTCTGAGGGATGCTCTCCTTCCCCAGTTACCCAAACACTTCTCAAATCAAACACCAAGCACATCTTTTAAGACCTGTTGTACCTACCTTCACAGCATCCTCACTGCCAGCACACGCTCCTCTCTCGATCAGCGAGTTCCCCATGTCGATGACCCCGCGGATCCGATCGGCGTTGGCATGGAGCTCAGCTTCAAAGGCCTGGTGCTTCTGGTGCTTGCTCTGAATGTGACAAAAGCTAAAGTTAGAGGCTGGACAAAGGGCTCCTCCATTGTTCTCATGGGCTGAGAGGGCAGCACAAGAGTTGTTGACATACATGAAGAAGTTTGTATGTCAGCTGATCTAAAGTTCTCTCTCAGCAAGCATATTTATTGATCACTCAGATACTAACTCTCATTAATCTGAGCAAGCTCTGGCCCAGGAAAATGGGCTGTGAGCTGACATGTTAACTTGGGCAACGTCTTCTGCATTTCACAGATGCAAAATTCCTTGCATTAAGCATAGTTGCTACTCAAGTAAAGCTTTCTCATTTTCAATTCCTTGAAAAGCAGCAATTATACATACCCTAAGCAGAAGCACAGCACATCACCATTTCTACTCCTGTAGTAATTTCAAAGACTTCTGTTTTCCTTCCTGACTTATAGGTAATTAAGAAAAACCACTGCTGCAGCCTATCTGCTTTCTGCACAGTTTTGGTATTAGTCATACACAGCTACATTATATATTGAAATAATGAATTAACAACCAAAAACCTCTGTAAAAATAAGGGAACCATTTGTTTATAATTTTTCTCTGCTGAGTTGAGAGCACCATGAGAACAACAGGAGCCTTGGTGTGGGAGGCAGTACCCAGTTCTCTCTCACGTATACATGATCCATCCACCCACCAGGAAGGTAACAATAGCACAAAAATGACAAGACAGAATTTACAAGTATTAACTGGAAATGCTAGTAACATTGGACATGGGTATACAATGCCCTGAGAGAATGGAATGAAAGGAAATGTTAGATTAAAAATAAAAGGTGGAAAATACTGTAGCGCTGGCATGAAAAATTCTGCATGAACTGCTTTATTTTGGGAACTGTAAATCCTGAATGCTGAGATTATAAAAACATATGCTTTGAAGCTAGATTTACCAACATGGGAAATTCAATTTAAAAGCTGCCAATTGCATATCTTCGTGTAATTACCATGACAACAAATCCCAGACAAGGCTTTTTGATTTACTGTAAAATTATGGTTTTTAAAACTAAAAAAAAATAAAACATTGTAAAAAAAATTAATGAACCACAGCCTAAAGTGACAAAGATTCATTCCCTTCTTACTCTAGTTAGCTTTCTCCTTCTTTGTTCCATCTTCTCTTTCCATATATCCTCATTTTACTCCACTTCTTGGATTCCTACAAGTCCTGTCAGCTTTCCATCTGGTATATATCTTTTTCTGGAGTGTTCCTTCTGTATTATTCCCTCCTATGCTACTGCTGCAAGAACTAAGCCATCTAGGTCTATCCTTTTACTGAACCCTCTCTAACAGAGCTAGTATTATATCATGCTTTAAATCATCACCACTGAAGACCCAGACAGAAGGATGAAAGGCCCACTAGCCAAAAATTCCTGAAAAAGGAGGGCAGAACCACATTTTTCTGTGGGCCAGCTCCTGAAAAACCCCACCAAACGACCTCACTACTGCACCACAAATTAAACAGCTCATGCAGAACACCTGCAAAACAGAGACAGAAATAAATGCTGCTGAAGAGGCATGACCAAAAGCGCACACCCGTAAGGTGAAGATCAACGGCTGCACCTGGGTGTAGGTCAGGAACTAACAGAAAACAAAGCCATTGCATGAACTGATGGATGGAGCAACAGATTGCAACCAGACCTTGTGCTCACACATAAGCTATATAAAGAAAACAAATTCACATACCAGGGCTAGTCCAAACTACTTACCAGCAGTTTGGAAAGCTATAAAACAGATTGAGAGAAGTAGTTCAGTGCATTCGTACTACTTCATAAACCAGTATTAAAATATAAGAGGTAACTTGAATTAATTATTCCTTAATACTGAAAAATAAATGAGACTCCACATTGGAACATAAGACAGAGATGAGTCCCAAGAACTCCATTTTCTTATTTCATTATCTAGACGCTGAGAGAATGACAGAATAGCTACTCAGGGGTTTCTCCAGGCAATTTGCTGCTGCAGATATCACATATCTTATTAATTATATGCATCAATAATTACTAAGTGAGCTCTATTTTGAGTCTCCTTTCATGCATAATATAAATTCCATTTTCTCTTTGTTAAAGGGAGACCAAGTCCAACGTGGTGTGTTAGTCTGTTACCACTGAACAAGAATTCCTGAGCGTATTTTCTCAACCCAGAATATGCTTTGTGAAGTTAAAAATTCTGTTTCGGGTTTTGAGCTGAGAATCATGTTCACCTGAATATTGGTGGGATCCTTATATGATTCATCACTTGCAGTCTGGAGCTTTTCACTGATCCAAGCTTCTATTTCATCCACATCACGACTGAACTGCTGGAGTGTCTGAGACTCTCCTAATTTCGATCTCTTCTCGATCATCTGCGCTTTCAGACGCCGCCACCTGTGTGCAGTGAAATATGTCTGTTGAGTGAAGAACCAGGACTGCACACAGCACATTCAACAGCTACAAAACGTTGCCAAAGAGCATTCTCTTTGGTCAGTGCCTGCACCCCACCTAACAGGGTGACACTGACCTGTCCAGAACCTCGTTGCGCCTGTTTGCAATGACTCCTTTTGCATAATGATCAGCAGAGATCAACTGGTCAGCAAATGACTGCAAGACAGCAATTTTCTCTTCCTGTTAAAAACAGAAGCCATAAATTAGAACTGTAGTTCCTTAAAGTCAGGTGATAGCAGTGTATAGAACAGAACAAGGCTTTTTTCTTCTTTAAATACACATTATTGTAAATGTGGCTACATGAAGGAAGTCAGTTTTCTACAGGACTGGGGAGTTCAGAACATCTTTCATATGTGACATTTAGGGAAAAAGTATGTTTTGGACTTTCAGCTAGAGCAGTAAGATCTCTCAGGAAAAGCAGGCAGTGTTCTGTTACAAGAAACCAAAAACTTTTTTTTTCAACAGAAAAAAGGGGGAAAAAAAAACCCTGTTTCAAATCACTAAGAGATTTACACCAATACTTGCCACCATTTCAACACTGTTTGTAAGCAGTGAAATACATCTCTATCTGCATTAGCTGCTTCTAAACTTCTGCAGCAGATCCCAAATGGCTCAATACTTAGAACTGAACTTTAGAAGCCATACATGGTACTAACTTCTTTTGCTAAGAATCTGAATAAGGAAAAAAAAAAATAAATTTTCCTCCTTACTTCTGCTACACTCCTCACCTGGACATTGATAGCCTTATCAAAATCTTCATGTTTCTTGATGAGTGCCTCCACACTGTCTAGGGAGTCTCCTTTATCTTCTGTATTTAGGAAAGCCTCTCGGGCAGCCATCCAGTTTTCAGCTTGTTCACAGTCCCGATGGAACAGCTAGGGAGGAAAAAAAAACCTCCAGAGTGTGAGAAAGACAGACCAAGAGCACTGCTCATCACTATGAAAGAATAAGCTTCCTTACAAAACAAGGAATTGGTTTTCTTCAAAAAAAGCAGCAGAATACCTGTAGTTCTAGGCACTGGTCTAGCATCATTCTGCGCTGGACCCAGGCCTTCTCCAGGTCTGTCCGTTCTTGCTCTAGAATATCCAGTTTCTCCTTGATCTCTGGGCTGGCGTAGTGTCCACGAGCCAGAAGTTGTTGTCCAAACTGTTCAAATGCCTGGAAGGTGCCAGCCCTTGCATCTATTTCAGTGCGGTGTTCCTGTAATGTACAGAGATGTGTTACTAAACAAATAAGAGAGCAGAGCTGGGACTGATCTATTTCTGGAACTCTAAATGGGAAGTGTCAGAAAAAGAAACATTTGTTGATGTTGATGATACACACTTATCATCTTTCACATACCTGATGCCTTTCCAGTAAAGCTTCAGCTCCAGTCACATCCTTTGCAAGTTCATCTGAGGAGACCAGGCCCCGGATTCCATTGATCCAAGACATAAGGTCCCTGCAAACACACATTAATAGAGAATTCTCCTCTCCCTCCACTTAAATAAGTCAGAACAGGAAAAAAAGACCTTTTTTGAACCCTCCCCAGAAATAGTCCTGCAAAACAATAAGCCACGTATACTTCACTAATAATACACCAGACAAATTGGAGAGGAGGGGAATAGCATCTTTACCTGAAGTCACTGAGGAAACGCTGCAGGTCATGAGAATCTCCAAGCTTCTCTTTGCGCTGGTCAGCACGTTTGCCCAGACTGTTCCAAGCCTGGTTCAACTCAGTACATTTTTCTTGGAGATCTTCAGCAGATTCAGGATGTGACTGGATCAGACGCTGGGCGGTTTCACCAAGAGAATTCACCTAGAATTAGGGAAAGGGAAATAAACACAACGAAGACAAAAAGAACCTTTTCTGTAGCTCAATCATTTCTGCGAGGTCAAAAGAAAGCTTTTGGCTTTGTCCTCCTCACAATCTCACCTTGTCTCCAAGAGCTGCCAAGTCTCTCTCAAAACCTTCATGTTTGCGCTGCAGAGCCTGCACGCTGGCCAAGTCATGTCCATAATTGTCTGTATTTAATGCTTGGTTCTTCTCCTCTATCCATTCTTTTGTTTCATCAGCATCTCTGATTTGAGTGAAGGGAAAGCAAAGAGAGAATTAAAATGGTGTTCATATTAGGATCTCTGACACCTAACAGGCCACCGATTTCCAGAGAAGCTCACATAATTGACAGTTCTATTAAATTATTTCCCAAGATGACACAAATGAACTCTGCCAAAATAGGACAGCAGCCCAGACCTCCCAAGCCTGCAGCAATTCAGTGTTTTCATTTTAACAAGTCTTTCTTTTTCTAGGAGAATATAAAGGATTCTTGTTGGACCACGGGTGGTCTAACTTCCACTGAACAAGCTGGGGGTTGAAATACGATTTGTTTAGAATAGGTCCCACTGTGCTTTAGAACTCATAACAGACAAGGCATTTTACTGAATGAAGACCAAAAATGATACAACCACCTCACCTGTGGAACCTCTGGACTTCATGGGCACTGCCCAAGAGCTGGCTTCGCTCCTCTGCTAACTGCTGCAGAGATCTCCAGCGTTCGTTCAGTTCCTGCAGAAGAAACCAGCCAACCCCACTGGTGTCACACAAGTCACTGCCAGGCTGGGCTCACCGACCAGACACAAAGCTTTAGTAACTGGCAACATTTTGTTCACTATGCTTAGCTGCACCTTCTTTGTCTGCAAGCACACCAGCAATCCATTCTGCATCTTCATTCCCACAGGCTTCGTTTTAGGTGTCTACTGAGACTACTGACAGCAATGCTATAAAACTTCCTAAAATAGCTACGCCTCTCTCTGTACAGCATATAAACTTCATCAAGCAGTCAGTAAGATAAATTACAAGTCCATACTGGGCTTTCACTACAAGTGAAGGTTACTACATCCTGCTTATTTCCAGAAGAATGCACAAATTCAAGTACCCTAATTAAGCAGTTTTAAGGATTTCTCCTGAGATGCAAACACAAATGATTTTACATATATAAGGTATGATGTAACCTGAGCAGGAAATGCTGTATATGTCAATGCTTCTTTCAATAAATTGATCCAAAAGGTTTTATAAAGAATAATGAAAGAAAAACTATGGAAAGGGAGAGTGAACACTGTTCTCAGCTTTTAAATGAGCTTAGAAAAAGTTGTATTATTACCTTGTTGATCCAAAAGGTTTTATAAACAATAATAAGGTTTTATAAAGAATAATGAAAAAAAAACCCTATGGAAAGGGAGAGTGAAAACTATTCTCAGCTTTTAAATCAGCTTAGAAAAAGTTGTATTATTACCTTGATCGAGTTAAAGGTTGCCACTGTGTGTACCATCAAACGTGCAGACTGTGTGGAAAGGCAAAAATAAAAATGTAGCATTAAACTCAACTCCAACCAATCAGAGTCAAAATCAAACTGAAAAAAAAAAAAATCTTTAAAAATCCATAATGGTTTGGTTGTGGTCAAAAATACAGACTTAGTAAAATACCACTCTACAAAAGGCAGGAAGAGAGACCCTGGATTATAAAGGTTTCAGTGAAAACTGTTGTATTCTTTAATTTTATATACTTTAGAACAGTATTTTAAATACACCATTGTCTAAGATGTAAGAGAAGCAGACAATAAGAAAAACAATGCAAGTAAAATTACAGAAGCAACTAAGAATAATTAGTTATTATTAACTATATTAGTTATTAACTACAGTGCCTCAGGCACTATAGGTCAGAGTAAGGAGTTTTACAAGTGAGTACTATCTTGTTAGCATAAATTGAAACAAACAGCAATAGTCTTAATAAGGACAAATAAAGAGGAAAATTTTAAGGCAAAATTCAATAAATGGTAAAAAAACCCTCAAACTCTTAGTCATAGGAACAGAAGGGGGAAAAAAAAAAAATCACCCAAACAGTTTTAAGTCTTGGTTGAGTTTTTTGGCAAAAATCAGCTTAGCAGTTAATTCAAACATTTCTAGAACACCAAAACTGGTGAAGACTAACTAAAAAAATTATGACCAATTCCTTCCAACATGCAATCTACTTTTCTGACAATGATGGATGACTTGTTAAATTCACCCTTTTGCAGATATACACAGAGGAGAACTTATAGTTTTCTAAGTTTCTACAAAACTCTTAAGAAATACACATATGAACAACTTGTACAAAAACAAATTTTTAAAAAAAACCCTCAATTCTTATTGATGTGTCTGCATTTTCTACAATGCTGTCAAAATACTGCATACTCCTCTGGTTTTCCCACATTCACACACCTTAAAAGATGTACAAGAACCTTTATATCTAAGAGGGTGGATGCAAGACATGAAACATGGGAACAAAATACTGGAGGAAAGCATGAGGTTGGATAATGTCAAAATATTCAGGATATTGTAGTGCATCAGCAGGTGACACCTATTCCATTGTAAGCCTCTAATGAACAGAGAAAGGCTTCCAACTATTGTAGAAAATGAGCTAGAGATGACTGATGGAAGACAACCATACTGTTCTAAACATACAACCTAATCCTTATGAAAGGAATGTTGACATAAATGGATTTGACTTTCAGGAATAAAAACATTTCCCCTCACTGTGTAAAAAGAACTCAGGCTAAGTGAACAGGGACTATTTCTCATCTTGTGGCCACGTAATACCCAAAAATGTTGGTGTAAAAACTTACAGTACAAGCTCAAAACAAAACAGTTTTGCAGCAGAGAGGTAAAATCCAGACTGTTGGCAATTTCTACAGGTAGAGCTATTTTGTTTGAAGCCTATCTCATTTTTTTTTCTCATAATTATAACTGCAAATAGAGCTGA